AAATATTTATTAGTATTAAAATCTTGCGAGAAAGCAAGAAAAAACAGAAAAAAAGATAATTAAAACGTAAAACTTCCGTAGTCTTTAAAAAAGCACACCTTAATTAATATATATATATATATATATATATATATATATATAAAAGTGGACATTGAAGTCAACACACTCAGAAACGACAAACACAATCATCAGGCCACACATGTGGCCTGACTACTGTGTGTCCTGGCAATTGAGTCTCGCATGAAACAGCTTGTCACCTCTGAGTGTTGACTTCAATGTTCACTTTTATATTTACATACGCTCTATATCTGATATTGAGCACTTTATCCCATAAAAATATAGCACACTTTAAAACGATATTTCTTCATATATATATATATATATATATATATATATATATATATATATATATATATATATATATATATATATATATATATATATATATTTTCAGCACCCTGTTTTCATTAAGATATGCCTCATTGAATTCAATAGGATCCTCTCATATTCACGGACAAGCTTCTTAGTATCGTCATTAAAGATAGAGAGATGCATCAGCCTATCACAACATTTACAACCACATGCCTGTTCACATTCGCAATTTAGAAAAATTCTTGTTGAAAATTCATCTATACTTTTTCATAAAAGTAATAAACGTAAACTAAAAATTCTTGAAGCTATCTATACTTTCTTTAGTAAGGATACTAAGAAGTTTGTCCGTGAATATGAGACGATCCTATTGAAAATAAGTAGACAAAACTTCTCTAAATTATACAACTAGGCATGTCCTTATATATATATATATATATACATACATATATATATTAACGGAGATGAGGGTTAATCATCCGACCAAGATCTAAAATGGCCGCAAAAAGGGTCCATCTGAAAAGGCTTGTCAGTATGGCAAATAAAAGTGATCAGTAACAAGTGAAACTAGCGTAACGGTACGGGAGACATAAGCCCCAAAAGTGATCTGATGGACTGGACAACCAAATTCACCTTAGAGTATATATGAATACAGGAAAGAATGGGCGGTTCTAAAAAAGAGTCTTCTCAAAAGTAGCCTACTGCTATAAATGTGCTCAGTACCATAAGAAATGGAAGAGCTTCAATATTAATTCAAAAACCAGGTAGGCAGTAACTGGCCACGACTATAAGATTCGTGCGCTTGCACACAATCTTCAGGTAACCAGTGGCTGTTATTGTAGTTTAAGTATCTTATATACCACAAGGTATATAGGGTACTCCTCTTATAATCTTAACCAACAAACTGCACAAAAGTGACACGAATTAAGTCGCTACTCAGAGTTTCCTGCAACGCGATCGTCAGGCGACAAAACGCACTCTTGTTGCCTAACGATTGCAGTAAGGTTACTGTTCTGTTGTAGTCTATTTGATTTAGATATTGATCACTTTGGATTATATAAGTGGTTGTATGTCCTTTGGTCTGTATTTTATTTTCTGATTATCACGAAAAGCTCTCATAGGTGTTTCTATAAAATATATTTTCTAAATTATAGATTGCGTTCAGCTTGAAAGAGACTGTCACATCTGGGTGTTGATTTTAAAGTGTGATGGATAAATTTTCGTTTAAATAATGCGAAAAGGAAAATAACACTGTCATGTCATTTTAGCAAATATATATATATATATATATATATATATATATATATATATATATATATATATATTTGCATATTTGCAAAAAGATATCTTGAAATACGAAAGAGTAAATTTATCCCAAATAATCGCCATTGGATTCAACCACGGCCTCCAGACCATTTCAGAATCTCCTGCAATTCTTCTGGAGAGTCTCCTTGTTTAAGTTGGTGAATTCTGCCATAATCCTTGCTTTCAGATTATCTTTGGTGTTACAAAGAGTTTTGCTGGTCTCTCGTTCAACTGCGCCCCTGTTACAGTTTTGGGGGTATATTATGTATAACTAGTGAGCGAGTCAGAATGACTTATTTCCCTTTATAGTCGACCAATGGAAGGTTGACCAATCGGAAGCCGCCCAACACTGTATTCGTCGTGTATAAAGGCGGCCATCTTGTTTCCTCTACCGGAAGGACCAAAGGCGACCAGGAGAAGGATGAACTACACTCTGCTGTGATATCCACTGCGAACCTGCACTACGCTTTCCTACTGTCTCCGAAATATTCACTGCCAACCTCTGGATTCTATACTCGAGGACGACCGTCATGAAAATGTCTAACAGCCCCACACATGATAATCAAGTGGGTTGCATTCTGGGAAGTTAGCTGGCCAGATGTAAGCGATGATGTGGTCGCAGAAGTTGTCTGACAGCCATAACTGGGTTCTCCTGTTTGTATGACATGGTGCAGAGTCCTGTTGCTAAACATAGGATCTTCCAGCAGCCACCCTCTGGAATCTGAGGCCCTCACCAACAAATTCATATTTTATTCTTTCATGTATATTGTCGAACATTTAGAGTTTCTCAGTAAAAAGAAAAAAAAATGTCTCTTTTCAGCATGGTAGTTTATTTCCTTTGATCGCCATTGTACGTGTATAAACGTTAAGTAATCATGTCATAAGCATTACTGCAAGGAACATGTCAGCGGTTTCTGAAAAAACTGACTTGAAAATTTCAGAATCTGACTCTAACCAAAGAGAAACAGTCGGGTTTTCATCTCAAGGGCGGTCACACAACGTGACAAAGCACATTTTATTGGTGCCGTTTACATCAGTTCACCTGCCGACTACCTCGGTAAGCGCATAATGTAAATGCGAGATGAGAAAGCAAAAAACAAAAGACATGACAGAAAATGTGATGGGTACTGAGGGAAATATGAAACTCCACAGCTTAAACATTACGTATTCATTAGCCTCTTTCATTTTCTTAGATTATAAAGAGATTAAAGCAGATAGATAGATAGATAGATAGATAGATAGATAGATAGATAGATAGATAGATAAAGTAAAATCATTTAACTCTTATTTGCGCATAAATATATATTAACCATATTAAATCCATATAAAATAGGCCACGCATGTCTGTGTGAATATATATATATATATATATATATATATATATATATATATATATATATATATATTTAAGTTATGAAGAACTTGGAAATCCGTATGGGTAATCACAAGGAGGATAAAATCCTGAGAGCTCAATGTAAATCTAGAGCTAAAGTTCTGGTTACTCCGCCTCCTCCAATACTAAACATGATTGAGAGAGATATGAAATTAATCCCTCCCTAAACTCTACCATGTCTCTTTAACTACTCTTTTTACACTCTCTGTTAAATTACAAAAACTTACACTACCCATCAATTTTAATTTCATTTTTAGTTTTATTTCATTTTTGGAAGTGCTATCTGATGATCCGGCGTCCTTTAAAAGGGCTCTGGTGAAATAAATTATTATAATGGTACCTTAAAGTGGTCTGTCTTTCTTTATAAATATATATATATATATATATATATATATATATATATATATATATATATATATATATATCCCGGTTGTGCCACCGCTTATAATGACGCATTTTCATCCATTTTACGTAGTGCTCGCTCGGTTCATCAACTCCAGGGTTCTTGGATCTATTTACATTAAGTTTCATTTAGCCAAGTCTTAGTAAACAAAAAGAACATTTTATTTGTTCCTTACATTTGATCGAGGGATTATGAGTAACTTTTTTTTTCCATTTTATACTCTTTTTGGAATTTGGCATCTTTTAGTCGTTAATTTATTTATAATTTAAATCTATTTTAATCGTGTTCAAATTGTTCCTCATCATTCGTTATTCCTGTCGGAGAAATTTGTCGAACATTCAGGTCGGTATATGTAATTAATACAGTTTATTAATAAAAAACAGAATACTTACTTAAATAATTTTAATCTATTAAATAACTCATAAACAGAAAAAAAAAATATATATTTTTTTCTGTAGCGTTTTTAAAGTATTTTTGATGTAATATCCTAAAAATAAGGTAATATATACAGTGGTTTTCCAAACGTATCTTGTTATAGAACACTGGTATCAAGTCTTTGTTTCTATATATATATATATATATATATATATATATATATATATATATATATATATATATATATATGATACCAAACAAATATACAATTAGTTGAAAAAAGCAAGGTCCTTACAACAAACAGATCTTCAGAAAGATACCGTTGGTATAAACTTTTATCATTTAATTCTTTTCTTCTGAATGCAAAGTCTGCATAGGGTCGTTTGGGAATTTGTGGCACGTAATGCCGCAATGCCTCTGTTTTCAGTCCTTCAAAAGTGTGCTTACTTCACCACTATTATTAAATCACTTGTGCTGGTGTCTGGCTTTCGGTTCCAAGGAACTGATCTGTTTGACCCTTATGCGTCGAATCGACGGGAAAGTAGAATATATATATATATATATATATATATATATATATATATATATATATATATATATATATATATTGCTCTACTTTGTATTGAGCACTCTTTAAGAATAGTAATTGTTGGTTATTGGAATTCATTCCGTATATACCAATTATATATATATATATATATATATATATATATATATATATATATATATATATATATATATATATATATATATATATATATATATATATATATGTGTGCGTGTGTGCGTGTGCACTATATAGAGTCTAATTAGTCATCCTTTCGTCACCGAGATCCGTTGGTACATTCGACGTCAAGAATATACGCTTTCCTTGTATCTTAACGGTCCGGGTTCGATTCTCGGTAGCAGATGCGCACTGCTGATGAATCCCAAATATAGGACGAAACGGCGGACCAGTTCTTTCTGTATTCTGTTGAGAATTCTTCTAGACTCGATGAATTACTTAATTATGATTATTTCAAATCCTCCTAATAATTTCTATATATATATATAGTTAAAAATAACAATATGCCGGATTTAATCCATTTCATATATATATATATATATATATATATATATATGTGTGTGTGTGTGTGTGGTGTCGTTCTCGAGACTATGGATCTGCGCAAGTACAGCTTTGAACCTGTGTTGTTGCAGACGTTGCCAGAACATCGGAGAAAGAGCCTGACCTCGGATTTGTATTCATAATTGTACTTCTCCTAGTCTGGTTAGCAACCATGGCCACAGTGCTCAAACCTTTCTACGATTTATCCACAGTTAGAGGTTTTGAATTCAGAGGTTTTTCTCTTAGACTAATTTTCTCCTAGACTGGTTGTATATATTTTCCTATATATATATACCTATATTTATATACCTATATTTATATACCTATATATATAGTCATACATACCTACATATATATATATATATATATATATATATATATATATATATACACACACATGAGAAAAAAAGTTAAAAAAATTATGCGAACTTTGGCTATATCATGTCTTTTTTACTTTCCCCCGTATATATAATATATATATATATATATATATATATATATATAGATATATATATATATATGGAGATAGATAGATAGATAGATATAGATATGTGTGTGAGTGTGTGTGTGTGTGTGTGTGTGTGTGTGTGTGTGTGTGTGTAATGGCCGGTTTCTTCTTTTATAGCATATATTTCTGATAAGGCGCCTTGCCAATGCCTGCTGCAGACGGCTTCTCAGGCGTGTTTGTGTCTATTCAACAACCCCAAAGACCACATCATTTCCACCGACTTTATACGGAGCAGAGTCAATGTTTCCGCGAGGGAGATGGTTATCATAATTTATGATCATTTAGAAGTAGAATCATTTGCATATTCCAATGAAAAACATTTAGAAGCGGGCATCTTATAAAGTCCGTATAATTCCTAATAGTATTTCTTGTTACTTTCAATGAAGAGGCTTCCAAATTATTATTTTCTCTCTTGAACTTTAGGATGATGCTTCTGACTTTTATTTATACACTAACCGAATTACCCGCGTGTCAGACTTTTTCTTTTGAAATAATTTTTATAATCATGCATTTAAATATTAATCAATGATCTTGCCAATGTGACCTTCATCTTCTGGCTTTCTCCTTCTATATTTCGGAGAGGAGTCATTCAAATTTAAATTTAATTTAAATCAAAGAATCAGTGTGAAATTTTATGCAAAAACATTTTGATCTGAACCCTTTGATATATATTTGATGCAATACTTAAATGTTATCTGTCTATATCTCTGAGATGGGGTATTATGATTACTGACATCGGTTTGTTACCCTCATCCTTATTGTATATTCACAACATTTCGCCCGTTCTTTAGGTGATTTGAATTTCGAACCGAATCCTTTATTTCGTCCACCGGGGTAGGTCCGGATGTCTCGCTTATTTCTCTTTAACTCAATTTTCCAAGTTTTGGTTCAGCACTGCTGTAGTCAGGTATTGAACTCACAGCTCCTTTAGGTATAGTCACTGGATCTAACCAACGTAATCCACTGGGTTATGTATCCTTGAGGACATCTGTGTATTCATTTTTGGTATTTACAAACACATATTGCAATTTTTCTGTTATTATTGCATTTTTAGCAGATCTTATATGAATGGAAGCATCATACTACCATTTGACAAAGGCAATGAAACTGTAGTGATAGACAAAACGGCATATACAGAAAATCTGGATGACTTCATTGTAACTACCCACTGATTGGTGATTTCTTGCTCAACTTGGTGTCCATATTGTTTCATTTTGATTATGCCGATGTGACCTCGCCTTTTATATTTTGGATAGGAGTCATTTTCCTTGTTTAAATTTAAATTAAATCATAGGGAAAAAATTCCAGTCTATTTGGAGGGGTGTACCCCCTGGGAACCCTTTGATCAAAATGAAATATACTTATCTAAGTACCCTGAGTAATGTGGTTTCAGAATATATATTATTATGGGGGGGGGTCTATCTTCAAAACTCTAGGAGGAGTTTGATAACAACCAGACAGACAAAGGCTACAACTTTATATATAAAGATTTGTCGATACCAATAATCTTGGTACTCCAGAGGCCGTCACCATTGTTAAACTACCTAATACAATGCTCAGGTACCACTCAAGAAATTACAAATGAGATTGATATAAGAGTATACAGGTAAGGAGCAAGAGATGCTAATTATGTAGGATGGTTAAAAGATCAGGGAAGCATCCTCTCGAGAATATGTTCGCAAAATTAACTCACTGTGTGGATCTTCCTCCTTACCAATGGAATACAAAGGGAATGAAGAGGATTCAACTGTGTGTATGCGGCATGACGTGTTCCTGTCGAAATGTCTGAACAGTTGGCGTCAAGGAATGTAATACGGCCTAACATAAACCATGAAAATAGCGATAGAGTAACGAGAGGCTAGGGATGTTTCATGTATGGGAAAGGGTTTGAAAGCTGGAAATAATTCATTACCCACAAGGCCGCGGAAGCGATTAGCACTTATGTTGAGGCTTGGAAGCGAATATTGGACAGATCCAGCCCAGATATCAGTAACAACAAATTTGGAAGGAAAAAAACTGACAACAAAAGAATGGTTAATTCATTTTAGCTTAAAATGTTCAAATTGAAACGAAGGTTTAACTAAATTCATTACACATAGTTATCTTATATACTCGCGCATCGTGCTACTTTCGAAGGCCTAATTTTGAAGCTAATTTTAAGAGGGTTGCATCATACATGATAAAGTTAGCGTATTTTTGCTACGTACTGTGGCCGTTAACAATTAAGTATAACTCAAGACTTCAATGTTAAAATAAAACAGTATTTAATTACAACCTCAAATAAATACTTAACAAGAACAAAGATGTAAAAGTCAACATAAGATAATTAACCATTTCAGTAAATACCTTGTCATTAACGCGGCTCGGCTTAACGTCCGGTAAATCCTAAATCAAAACCCAAATCATCGACGCACAATAATTCACACTAATTCGACTGGATAGTTCCACTCAATAGTCCCTCAATAATCACTACAGTCAGTAGACTGACACCTGGCGGAAAACATATAATCATAAGTCCAGAGTGTCACGCTCGAATCTCGATGTCAGTAGTTACTCATTTTCTTCCTATATGGCTCGGATGTATTACTGTCCCTGGCTATGCCGCTGACCGAATTATATATATATATCTATTTACTGTAATCAAATTAGCTTCAAAATGCGCGAGTGTATACGGTATTCGGCATTTCAATATTTTAACGCCATAAGATTTTCTCCCGTCAAAAGTTTACGTACATTATGGTATGAATAATTATAGTATGTTTGAAATCAACTTATATTTTTTTTCTGACAATATATATTAATATATTGCCACCTCCTTCAGACAGATGTATAGTCGAAAGCCTATTTCTACTGTAAATCAATTTCCATGGAAAATGTTTAGACGAATTCCATTTCCCAGTTCCATCGGTTTAGACCTTAACTGCTAGCACGTGCCGTACTTCTTGCACAAAGTCGAAACACCCACATTTCTCCCGTATTCTTAATGTAAAAAGAAATTTTTCCCCGGAGACATTTTTCCCCCAAAGTACATGAATATTTCTCTAAGCACTACAGTTTTGATCTCTTTAAGTCAATAGTAAAGAGTAAATCATTATCTATCCTCCTTATCCTAAGAACCTTTATATATTAACAATTCCTCTTACCTTATATTTACATGACATTCTTCATAAATATTTTAACTCTAACCCTCAGTGTCTCTCGAGTCATATATTGTGTAAACGTTGTTATTTACACCACTTTATTTGGACTGTTGTCCTCATCTTTATCGTCATATTCACGACGTTTCGGCAATTTTACGCTCCGGACTTCTTCATGTAATATATGTTGGAATTTTGAACTGAACCCTTTGTATCGCCCACCGGGATAGATTGTGCTATTTCTACGTGCCATGAATTTTTGGCATATCTCAGTTTCAGTTATTTCACTTTTCTGAAAAAGGCCGGGGCGTACTACTGCCGAAACGTCTTGAATATCACAATATATATAAGGTCAACAGTCTGAACAATGTAAATAGTTACAATACTTCATCTCGGAAATATAGACAGATTCTGAAGAAAGCCGTAGCGTACTGCGGCCGAAACGTTGTGAATGTGACATTAAAGATGAGAGCAACAGTCAGGTAAATAGTGTAAAAATAGATACAATACCCAATCTCAGAAATATACACAGATAATATCTATTATTCGACATTCATTATCAATATATAGATGAGATTTATCTTTCAGGAGATTCTATTCTCGTGTCAATAAATTTGAGGATAGCATTTCTTATTTTGTCGTAATTTGCTAAATTATTTTATATGTATATCCACCATACACTGAAGACATTTTGAAGACAGAACTGGAAAAGGGTTTCAAATTTTATTCTTCCTAAATAAAAGAACTAACACTGTACCAATAATTTCATTCACCACCCATTCTATCTATCTATCTATCTATCTATCTATCTATCTATCTATCTATCTATCTATCTATCTATCCCTCCCTCCCTCTATTTCTCTCTCTTTCTCTCTCTATATGGAAGTTTCTTCGTTATCTATCGAATCTCAGTTTGTTCATCTCTCTCTCTCTCTCTCTCTCTCTCTCTCTCTCTATATATATATATATATATATATATATATATATATATATAGATAGATAGATAGATAGATAGATGAAAGTTTGTTCATTACCCATAGAATCTCACTTCGTTTATCTCTCTCTCTCTCTCTCTGTGTATATATATATATATGTATATATATATATATTAAAGTTTGTTACTTATCAAATCTCAGTGTGTTCATTATCTATCTATCTATCTATCTATCTATCTATCTATATATATATATATATATATATATATATATATATATATATATATATATATATTCGCTAATTATCGAATCTGTTTGGTCATCTCTCTCTCTCTCTCTATATATATATATATATATATATATATGAAAGGTTGTTCGTTAACTATCGAATCTATTTTTTCATATCTATCTATCTACATAGATAGATAGATAGATAGCTAGATAGATAGATAGATATGAGATGTGTGAAATGACATTTACCATGTAATGTCAATTTCTATGCATACTCTGTTTATATCCACACACACACTCTATCCCCAATATTCTCCTCCCCTAATTCAACGACCTAAGGCCGTCCCAGTAATTTCAGTCAGCAGTGTAGAGATATGATTGCATGTAAGTGTGTGATTTATGAACAGCTCCTATTTTATCGATAAAAAATATGAGGCAAAAACAAACATCGTTCACCAAAAATATAACCAACGCTCTCCATCTTAAGAGACAGCATTCATTTATTATACCAGGTGTTTTTAAATGACACTTTTCTAATAAACTCAGATAGGCACGAATACTCTTCATACACATACACACAGAAATATATATATATATATATATATATATATATATATATATATATATATATATATATATAAAGAATGAAATCAGTTTTCCAATTTCCCCCTTACAAACTTTTTTATACACGTAACTTGTTAAAATATTTGCCAACTAAAATTGTACACTCACCGTGAAATATTGGAAAACAACAGCTGAAATTAATACTTTTTTAAACTTAATAGCCGAAAAACCTGAGTGAGTAAAATTAGTGCATGATTTTCAGCAAAAAAAAACGATTTCCTGAGATTTAAGTTGCGCATTTTTAGCACTAGAATTGAAAAAAATATCCTAATAAAGAATAATATTAAAGGGTGTTCCATTAAGACGGATTATATATAAAGGTGTTTCATTAAGACGGATCAAAGTCAGTAGTAAATAAATCAGTATTATTAGTGAAAATTTATCTATTTCTCTGTTGCACCATATTATTTAAGCTATGGCAATTCTGCGTGAAAAATAATATCGCCCAAATGTCCGCCAACTCTGAAAGAAAAAGAAAAAAAATCATTAGACACTTAAAATTAATTCACATTTTAAATCGCTCCAATTTAATGGAACACCTTTTAATAATAATAATAATAATAATAATAATAATAATAAGAAGAAGAAGAAGAAGAAGAAGAAGAAATTGAGTTCAAAGCCCTTTTATGGAAAGTATCCACAACGTTTGGATAAATCAGACATCGATTTTCACGAAAAATCAATATCTAAGAAGCAGTAGTTTTAAGAAGGCACAAAATATCTTAATACCTTCTTTCAGAACGTAGGCTAATCGTATCCCTTGTGACTCTCAATAAGTTTCGTCCTTCTGCCACCTCCCCCAGACTACAATCTGTCATCCACTTGCTTAAGCCGGATAGGTATGTCATGCATTGCTTTCCCTTGTCTCTCTTTCCTTCTATTCGACCTGTGAGTATCAGATTTTCCAAGTCAACATCGTGTGTCCCAGAAACTTCAGCTGCCTCTTTCTGATTTTAAGTATAAAACTCCTCCTTGTTTGCATCCTCTCCAAAACCTCATCGTTGCTCACACGCTCGGTTCATGATATCCTTAGCAACCTTCTGTAGAACAACATCTCCGTCAACTCGAGTCTCTTCATCTTTGTGGAGACCAGCCAAAATTAATGTCAACAAGGCTAAAATTAAAACAAAAAGATGGCCGAAATCTAGCTTGTCGCTTATGTCATAAATTTGATGAAACTGTTGACCACAGTCCCTGCTGAGAAATTATACATTATTAGAGATGGCAGCCGATGACAATATATTCAGACATGTGATTTCAAACTGTGGTATTGAAGTTCCCGATACACGTTACACGCACCAAATAAATGAGGTAAATGGTAATCGAGTGACTGCACTGTGGAAATTCTTCATTCTTGCAGACAGAAAAATTGATCGAAATAGATCAGGCCTAGTAATAAAAGATTTAAAGAAAGAAATATGTCAACTAATTGATATTACTTGCCCACAAGATTCAAATATCTCTAAAAAATAATTTAGTTTAGTTTAGTTTATTTTACAGCATATCAACCTCAATGGGTTATTTAATGCCAACGAGATTTCTATTGCTAGTAATATTATTTTCCAAAAATATATTGTTGCTAATATCTTTTTCCAAAACGTATTGCTTGCATTAAAACCTATTTTTATAAATTCATTGTGCTTTGACCTTTTTTTTTGGGGGGGGGGGCTAACTATTTTGCCATAGCTGGGAGCCTGATAGGTGCTACCACGTTGGGTCCGGGTGGGTCTGGGAACGCCAGCAATTAAGAGGTGGTTTCAACCTCCTCAAAACCTCCTGATCAAAGGATTTGCTCTCGGATGTAGTTTATCGTCTTACCCAGGACGAAAAAGAATTAAAAAAAAAACAAAAAAAAAACTAATTACTAACAAAATAATATTCCTTTGTCTAAAAAATATTTATGATAAATAATTTTATTACCAAAGTAAACAGATCATTATTTCACAGATATTATTTTGAGGTAAAATTATTAATTCTTTTTTATATCCTTTTATTTCCCTCTTCCATCAAGGGAATTTGCACATTTTATTATAAATGTTTTTGTTTTCAAATTTAATAGGAGACTACTACTGATTATGGATTAGTCGGAGTACAAATAAAGCTAACTCTAAATTTTAAATGAAGTTGGAATTGGGCTAATTGAATTAAAGTTTCCTTTTAATTGAAAATATGCATGGAGTAAGTGCTATAAGTAATTTATGAAAAGTTATTGGGCTTAAATAGCACCTCATTTTGCAGAAGTTTGTGCACTGTTGGCTTTTTAAATTATTTCTAATCTTATTAAAGAAAATATAAGCTCACCTCAGGAATTTAATCTGCGTCTCTCTGGGCAGATGGAAATTCGGTAACTTAACCATCTTGGCGATAAGGCAAAGTTTTATCGGCAAGATTGCTCCGTAGACGATTCGGTTAAGGTACGACGGTCTAACAACGGGTTTTCTTTGCACAGAGGGACGCATATTTTTCATTAAGAAGATTTCTCGAATATTAAGGCCGGAAGACGAAAATAAGTAAATATATTCTATGATAAATAAACGCAGCGTCTACTCAAATATGAGTAGCCACTAAAAATAACTTTTAAATTGACATATATATATATATATATATATATATATGTGTGTGTGTGTATGTGTGTGTGTGTGTGTGTGTGTGTGTGTGTGTGTGTGTGTGTAAAGACTTATGCAGTTAAAAAGTACATTCTCAAATATAATTGAATGACAACGCAGTGAATCCTAATCTGATTTCCAAAAAAAGCTAATTCATTTCAGATAATTTTAATATAGCTTAATTTTTATTCTTTCGGCTATTTAGAGATTTCACAGCTAAAATGTTCTGTCTATATCTCTGAGATGAGGTATTATGATTATTTACATTATTCGGACTTTTATCTTCATCTTCATTGCCATAATCACAAGGACACATGGCCCAGAGGATAAAGACGTTAGTTAGATCCAGTGACTAGCTTCTAGTGATATAATGGCTATCTATATCTATGAGATGAAGTATTATGATTACTTACATTATTTACATTAACCGAACTGTTATCGTCATCTTCCTTGCTGTCTTCACACCGTTTCGGCCGCTCTACGCTCCGGCCTTCTTCAACTGAACCAAATCCTTTATTTCTTCCAACGGGGTAAATTGTTCTAGTTCCACGTGCCGTGTCTCTTTCAGATGACTCAGTTATTTCCCTTTAACTCAGCTGCTGTTGCCTAGTATTGAACTCACAACTCGTTGTTTTTGTCACTGGATCGAACCAACGTCTTTATCCACTTGGCCATGTGTTTTGAGAACAATAAAGGATTCGTTTCGAAATTCCAATCACCTGAAGAAGGCAGGAGCGTAGAACGGCCGAAACGTTGTGGATATGGCAATGAAAATGACGATAACAGTTCGAATAATGTAAATAATGCAAGTAATCATAATACATCATTTCGGAGATATAGACTTATATATATATATATCCCTGCAAAACCCGCTTGGAAACTTCCCTGCAACAAACCGCTTAGCAAAAATATTTAACAAAAATAACGTAAAAATTAGTTACAGTTGCACAAATAATATAACACAAATAATAAAACGCCACAACAAAAAAAGTAAGAACCTGCAATAACGCAATCATGGAATATCAATGCAACTTCAGAAATAAAACATGTCCACTCCAAGGGAATTGCCTACAAACGAATATAATATATATATATAAAGGTAAGCGCAAACAACAGCACAATGTACTACATCGGTGCCAATGAGGGACTATTCAAGAAAGGAAAACACAACGACGACCTCTCATACTCCGACCAAAAAAATACTCAAACAGCGCTACACTATCTAGATACATATGGAAACTAAAAGACAGAAATGTGACGTCGTCCCCCGGTCGCAGCGCCAACTGTGACGTTCTATCCTGATCTACTACGGCGCCAGTTGTGACGTCCCCAAACAGCACCAATTGTGACGTCCTCGCCGCGGCGCCAGCTGTTCGCTCCTCGCTGCTCCGTCCGGGTGTCGCTGCTCCAAACGTGACGTCCGCCTGTCGCGTCAGTCGTGTTGTCTCGTCCTGTGACGACCAACTGGCTTGGTATCGGTCGCGGCACCCAAATGTGACGTTCCAACCTTTTGGTGATTCGAGTGGGAATCTGGTTAGATTTGATATCAGCCTCGTTGTTCCCAACTCGCTTCCAACGCCTGGTTACCAAGGTAACTGCATTGATCTCCAGTCTGCCTACCCACGTTGTGAATTGATCTTAGACAGACGAGATCAAACAGTGGTTGGGGCCGTAATGCAAATTGAGTTCAACTGGGGTGATACTACACAAATATGCATAAAAAGAAAATAAAATGAAAACTCAAAAGTTCAAAGTATCAAAGAAAAAAGGTAACAAACTTTATGTCTAGTTGTTCGATACATAGGACTGCATCTATCTCCCGACCCGTTCTGTGGATTGTGACACGTCGTTTCCGCTAGGCAAGTTTTAACGCTTCAAGTTGTTTGCTCTCTAAGAAATTGGTGTTTCGGTGTGTCTTTGGACGAAAGTCGAAAAAAAAAACTTATTTCGGTGGTCGGGTTCTAAGTCGCTCTTCAAAATAATTGTTTTTGGGTTGAAGAGGAGTCCGGAATTTTGCGTGAATCTTGGTCAGCTATCTCGAGGCGGCTTCAACTGGAGACTGACTCTGGGAACTCAACTCTGGAAACTCGAGCCCGAACTGATTTCTGCTTGTTGGGGCCTCGCTTTTATTGGCGCCGACCAAAACCGGGTTGGGTCTGTTGGCGTCGGGGGGGTTCCTCGATAATTCTAAATACATATCCACCTCTTTTATTTCTGGTTAGGGATTTTCCACTTTTGGGAACCCTTCCTCACTCCCACTTTCTCACCATACCTCTGAGGGGCGTGAACTGCTCTCCCCACTTCTTCGTAGCAGCTTCTCATACTTATACTCTGGATGGGGCGTCGACAGCCTTCTTCGTGCGTCACGTGATCACTCTCGGCCAATGAGGTCTTGGTCGGGTATCTTTCCTCCTCCTTCGTGCGTCACGTGATCACCACTTGACCAATGATGTCTTAGTCGGGCGTGAACAATCCGTGGCTTTGTTTCGGGAAAAAAAATATCTTGCTTAACTAAAAAAAATTATCTCTTCTCTTTCGCTTAAATCGCCGTTATCATTTCTCTAGCCACGGACAATATGACAACTCTTGTTTTACACGTGGTGTTTGTCAGGTATTTTATCGCTAATTCATCAAGATGGGTGGTATTCTTAACATAGCTTCAAAAAAGAAATATCCCCAAAGTTTTCAGTCAGTCTGTCGCCTCCAAGGAAGAAAGAAAAACACTTCTGGTTCCCCATAATTTTATTATCGCCGGCCAAAGTTGTTTCGTCGAAAAGAATTCGGTCAGCGCACTGCTTGTGTGGGATTTAATTTTTCATATCTGTCCAAAGTCCTTTTTAGTGGCCTGTTTTTCGTCACTTATCGAAATAGCATTTTCACTTGAATTTTTCCCTGGCCAGTTGTCTAGATAACACAGCCGTTATCAAAACACATCTGGTTCCTTCTTTTTTTTCCTTTTCTTTTTTACTCAGAAATTCCCTGTCATTGTAATGACACCCTTTTTCATTTGTTACTTATCAATATTTTCATTGTCTCTTAGCCGTGTGTGTGTCTGCTTATCACCTATGAATCGTCTCGCATTTCTTTCTGCCTTCTTTTCTTTCTCTTTCTTTCTCTGCCTCGTAAATGGTGCCACAGAAATATTACACCAAGAATAAGCTGGGAAATATTGAAAAATTCACCTGCCTACAACACCATAACAAAGAAATGCCTACTTTGAGGAAACGAAAAGTTAGCAATAATTTCTCACACCCAACAATGAAGTTACTAAACATAAGATCAAAAATAATTTCTAAATGCAGACATGAAAACAAATACCTATTCTCACAATGTATACCAAACGGATAAAAAAAATACCAACCAACATTGCTACATAAACGACCATTGACCCTATGAACACGAAAAGAGAAACCACTGACACCATAACACCATCAATTATTTTCTAATTCAAACTAGCATCATAATAATTATAATTATTGCTATTACCATTCCACCACAATTACTACAATCACTTCTACCATTTTATCATAACTATTTGCTGCTACAGTTGTTATGATCATCACCCGCTCTCCCCCACCATTACTGCTGCACTAATACCACCCCTAAAAACTATCACCACTCTAATTACAGTTTGGCCCCGACATTGTAAAAATTGTAATTTTTATTTCAGTCTTATCTAATATTGTAATTATCATCTTTCTTACCATTTATCCCCACTTATCCCAACATTCCCACTATCTCACCACCACAATTACCATTGCTGCATTAGTTCACAGTTATACTCCCGGCTTGAACGTCTGAGAAATTTTCATAGAAAATATGTGTCCTGCAACAGGAATTGAACCTGTATCCTACACGTAACCGTCATATAGCCTGACGTGCTATACCTGTTTAGCTACAGAGGAGCGTCTGGTTAGCAAGGTCGATTTTACTGCTTTTAAACTACAATTTTCCGTGATTTCCTTGCAAACCAGCATCTGTGTATCATGTTTATAAATTTGTGGAAGGAGATGCTTTCGCAGTCGTCCCCTTATAATTTCACGTCTTCTTCCACTGTCCTCAGGTTTACACGTTCTGGGATCATATCGACGATTTGACAGCTCTTATTGATTCCAAATATCTCGTGTCCATCGATCTTACATACATATGCGACAATGTGTTCCTCCCATGGTCTGGGGTGAAACGAAAGGTGTTTCTAACACTGCTAGCCGTGGCAAGAATGGTAGTGTGGATGACGTGAATCGAGGGAATTCAGTTTAAATATGGGAGTCATACAAATGAATTATAAAGTAATAGACGAATGAGACAAAGAAGTAATGTTATTGGCCAGGAAAAAAAAACAGCACGTTATGTTTTAAAATTATTATTATCAGCATGATGAATCAATTGAGACTGAGGTGTGTCATTTTAAGTGGGGATGAAACTGTTGTAGGACATTATTGCAAGAATCACTTCGAGCTTCTGACCATACAGAGTGTTACTTGGAAGCCATCTTCTTCAAAGAAAAGACAGGCGAGCTTTTGTAGGTCTTAACATTCTGTAAAGTTTACTGACTTTTTTTTATACATCGCGTGATTAGGTATTTACTGCCCAATTAGATATTGATTGGTCGGGGTCTTTTCTAAATCCACTTCTGGGCTTATCCACGCAAATCTGACCGGACGGATGTTGCGCGTATGTCATCTTCTTAACTCGTGAATTCCCGTCAATTCCTAACATCTCGTCACGCATTTGTATACTTTGTTAAACTTAGCAACGTTTAATTCGCGCATTTCCCGCGTAACATGGTGAGATGAGCATGCTCAAAGCCTGGCTTACGACCACTTACTATGAAATTATCACGTTAGATTCTGAACCTATCTGACTGTTTATATGTATGAATTAAGGGGGCACTTCGACGTGGTGTAATGGTTAACAAGCTTGTCTCTCTAGAACAATTACGACTGAGTAGTGAGTTCGATCCTCACTGGCTGCCCCATACTTTCGGTCTTGTGCCACATCTAAGCTTCGTTTAGAAAATCACTTTATGTTTCGATCAAAGTATCTGAAAATTTTTGCCTCAAACGAAATTTTTCTACGAATATATGTATCCATTATTTTAGACTGTATCAAGACTGGAATTGGAAGACTATGCAGCTCCTGCTCATATATAGTAGAAGGACTCCATTTTTCGGTCTGAGCTTGCAAGCAGCTCGTTGCTGATGAATATCATGCTGGAATATTCTTAACTTTAGAATTTTTCATTAATGGCGACGGCATGTAAATATGGTAAAGGGAATGCTAATATTGAACGCTTCCCTATTTTCGGTTGAAATTTATGAAATGTCTCTCTTAAAATAATTTCTCAGGAAAAATAGCTTTTTCAAGTCAAGTAGCTGTTATTACTCTTGACAGTATTGGCAGGGGTTTCTTTCCTAACCTTTTATAGTGTGGAATTTCAAAGCTATCTATCTATCTATCTATCTATCTATCTAAGCCTATTCCTATCTATCTATCTATCTATCTATCTATCTATCTATCTATCTATCTCAGCCTATTCCTATCTATCTATCTATCTATCTATCTATCTCAGCCTATTCCTATCTATCTATCTATCTATCTATCTATCTATCTATCTATCTATCTATCTATCTATTTCACCCTATTCCTATCTATCTGACTACCTGCGCCTCTGTTTCTCTATCTATCTATCTATCTATCTATCTATCTATCTATCTATCTATCTATCAATCTATCTATCTGAATGAGTGCCTATCTGTCTATATACCATCTGTTTGTTCGCATCCGTCTATCTATCTGTCTGTATGCCTATCTATCTATCTATCTATCTATCTCTCTATCTATCTTTCTATCTATCTATCTATCTATCTGAATGAGTGACTATCTGTCTATATACCATCTGTTTGTTCGCATCCGTCTATCTATCTGTCTGTATGCCTATCTATCTATCTATCTATCTATCTATCTATCTATCTATCTATCTATCTATCTATCTATCTGTTTCCTTGTCTCTTTATCTACCTATACTTATAGCCCCTCCATCTTTATCTATCTGCCGTTAACCAAACGATTCGCGATCTGTTAATCGACATACACCCCACTCTTTCTTCTTCGATGATTTATTTGCAGTGCAGAGAGAAAGCATACACACAAACAACATTAGATAGAAAAAGAAAAGGAAGGAATAAGGCCAATCAATAAAAGAAAAAAAAAGAAGCTTCCTGGACCCATTTTCATAAACAGGCACATCGAAAATTAAAGGAAATCTACATTTACGATTTGCTGTATTTTCGGGAATATCTTTTACGAAAGGTAAGAGAGCACATTTGTCGCAAAATACCTTCGAGGTCCTCACTGGCTAACTTCAATCAATGTTTCGTTTAACTGGAAATTGAACACGACCGTCTTTTCAGAACCACCCGAGGTGATTTAACTCATTGGCATCTGCTTTCGAAAATTGCAACATTACTATCTTGCAACTTAAATTAATCACTTTTTTTTTTTTTGGTTTTTGGTTTTTTGGTTTTTTGTTTTGTTTTGTTTTTTGGTCTTTTATTTTTGTTGTTTTTTTGAGTTTTGGGTTTTTTTTTTTTTTTTTTTTTTTTTTTTGTGATAGGTATGCTTACCGTTATTCCAGAGCAAAATTAAATTTGTATTCCTCTTTCATTATGTATCAGGTTGGTGAAGCTCAGTAATATTTTTTTTTTTTTAGTTAATTTCTCTGCTAAAAACAGAATGTTTAATTTTTCTTCTTTATATGTTTAACATTTAAAACATTAATTTTTAGAGCCATGCCAAAGGTATGTATAATAATTATATACATACAAAGTTATTTCCAATGCTTATTATGGCACAAGGTTACAAACGTGGGTACTCGTCAAGAGCGAACTCATTATAGTTGCAAATAAGACCGTGTCAAAAAGAGGGAAAACTAAAGCGTGTTCCAATAACTTGGACCCGATTTCAAATGTGAATTAAATTCAAACATCTAATTTATTTTCTTTTTCTTTCAGATCTGGCTGACATTTGGCTGATATTATTTTTCCCACGTAATTGTCATGACTTAAATATGATCCAATAGGGAAATAAATAAATTTCCACCAGGAACGCTCATTTATTTACTGCTGACTTTGATCCTTCTTAATGAAGCACCCTTATATATAATCCGTCTTAATGAAACACTCTTTAAATGTACAGGTGCGATGGATAAATTGTCGTTTAAATTATGCAAAAATGAGAATAACACTGACATCTCTTTTTAACAGATATATTAGCCAAAATTAGACGAAAAATAACTTGAAATGCGAAAAACTAAATTTATTCAATAAAATCGCCATTGGCTTCAACCACAGTCTGCTACAACTATCTGGGCGGAGTCTCCTTGTTTATGTTGGTGAATACTGCCATAATTCTTACCTTCAGTTCATCATTAATATTACAAGTTTTGTTGCTGTCTCGTTCAACTGCAATCTACAGATAATAATCAAAGAGTATGTTTTGGTTTGGTTTGGTTTGGTTTGGTTTGGTTTGGTTTATTATGTTTTACGGTATATCAACCTCAATGGGTTATTTAATGCCGACAAAATTTTTGATTGCTGGTAATATTTTGTTTTGTCAAAAATCTGCTTCTGGTAATATATTTCCTTATTGCTGGTAATAATTTTTTTCAAAAAAAGTATTGCTGGTAATAGTTAACTATTTGCCCATAGCTGGAACCCTAACATGTGCTACCACTCTTGGTCAAGGTGGACCTGGGAACACCAGTAATTAAGAGGTGGTTTCACACTCCTCAAAACCTACTGATCAGAGTCCTTGCTGCTGGACGTAGTTTAACGTCTTACCCAGGACGCGGATGTAGTTTAACCTCTTACTCAGCAAGGCAAAGAGGATGCAGTCTGAGGAGATAGGTGACCAGATTTATAGGGTTATGTGGTTGCAGAAATCGTCTGACAGCCATGACTGGGTTCTCTTGCTTGTGTGGTATGGTTCAGAATTCTGTTGCCAGATAAAGGATCACCCTCTTTATTCAGGGCAGTGCTACCTTTTTAATTTGATGTGAACCTCCGTGTTGAGTCTGAGTTTCTCACCCAAAAATATTGGGAGTTCTTTTCTTATCAGAACGATCAGATTGAGTCTTTGAGGAAATACATCTTTATTATTATTCATTGACTTTCTTGCTTTAGTTTTATCGCTTGATTATATTATAGGGCATTGGTCATTGGTTAAATGCAATTAGATGTCTTTTGTTCTGTCAGTTAATTAATAAATAAATTGTTATGGAACCTTACCCATAATAACATAATGGACTATTCCATACGTAATAAATACTGCGCCTCAAGAGGAAGAAGGGAGTCAGTCTGAAGTCTGGAGTGAGGTCCGTCAGAAATCCGTCAAGAGTTTGTCAGTCCGTCAGAGCGAGCGAGTCAGTCAGTCGAGTCAGGGCTGGGTTGCGACCATGGCAAAGTCTAGTTTGGACCATATCAGGACCTGCTAAGACAAGACAAGACCAGAACTTGACTAAGCTTTGACCAGCTTGGACATGTTATGACCAAAACATTGACTAAGCCTTGACCAGCTTGGACATGTTATGACCAATCTTTGACCAGTGACCCTATGCGGAAACGCTTGGGTTTTTCCCACGAAAAACGACCTTGTGTCACGTCTTGACCTCGTGGGAGTCAAGTAATCCCACGAAAAACGACCTTGTGTCACATCTTGACCTCGTGGGAGTCAAGTAAATACCGTCAGTCGAGTCAGAGGCAGTCCGAAACAGAGTCGCGTTCAGATAATTACTACTAAACCTGATTGTTCGTACTAACACTTTCTACTTCTCTGTATATATTCCTGTTTGTAATATATCTGTGTTATTCCATATCCGTGTTCGAGTTCTTCTTTATTGGTTCTACCTTGGAGTATCACCGTGGTACAAGGACCTGGACCATAACATAAATGATAAAATTTCAGCTTGACACTGACAAATTTCACTGAAACACCGGCATGCATGAATAAGAAGACAAGTATGATCAACTCCACCTGCAGCTTGAATAAAGTCCGTTTAAATTTTCCGAAGATTTCTGAACGCAAGTCGTCTAGAGGGGAAATGTCAGTGTACTGACCAGAATAAAGGATAGGACGAAAAGATTACTTACAAGACGAAGCAAGGTATTAAGGAAAAAAAAACAAACTTTAGAAACAAAGAAAGGGTTGTTGAAATGCTACGTAGCATCAATCCTTCTCTATGACATTGAATGCAGGACACAAATGAAAGGAAAACTAGGTGCAACAGAAGGATGCTGAGAATTCTACGGACAGAGCGTGTAAGCAAGGAAAATGAAAACAAAAAGGACACTTAGAATCAGAAAGAGATAAATTTTTTGGGGATATATAAAGAGGAATGAGGGCTTGGAGAATTTGACACTCACATTTGAATTTGACACTCACATTTGAATTTGACACTATAATAGTTTAAGCGTTTGTCGCCCGGTCCTGAAGGGACGTGGAACACAAAGGAAGATTATATGAATAAATCATTGTTGTCCAAATAAAATATGCAGGATTAACAGTCTAAAGGATTAACGTAAAAGATGAAAGATTAACATTTTTAGTGATTAACATAGAATACATTATTCACGGTAATTCACATTATTCATGATAAAAACGGAAACATTAACATAAGAACATGTTCTTAAATACCCTCATCAGATCGAGTCTTTCATACGTGGTACAATGGCTAGCAAGCATGTATCGCTAAATCAATTACGAATGAGCGGTGAGCTTGATCCTCATTGGGTGCCCCATATTTTCGGGCTTGTCGCATATCTAAGCTACGCTTAGAAAATAACCATGTGTAGCACCTAGCCAGTTCAGAAATGTCTAAACTGACAACAGTATACAAGCGCTTTCTCAGATCAGCTATTAACCTTTTGAGTCTTGACAACCGCTTTACAGGTGGTAGAGAAAAATGACTTAATGCCCAGCCACCGGTTGAACGGTGGTAAAAAAAAATGACTTAATGCCCAGCAATCGGTTGAACGGTGGTACAGAAAAATGACTTAATGCTCAGCCCTCGGTTGAACGGTGGTAGAGAAAAATGACTTAATGCCCAGCCCTCGGTTGAACGGTGGTAGAGAAAAAATGACTTAATGCCCAGCCACCGGTTGAACGGTGGTAGAGAAAATGACTTAATCGCCCAGCCACCGGTTGAACGGTGGTAGAGAAAAAATGACTTAATGCCAAGCCACCGGTTGAACGGTGGTAGAGAAAAATGACTTAATGCCCAGCCACCGGTTGAACGGTGGTAGAGAAAATGACTTAATGCCCAGCCACCGGTTGAACGGTGGTAGAGAAAATGACTTAATGTCCAGCCAGCGGTTGAACGGTGGTAGAGAAAAATGACTTAATGCCCAGCCACCGGTTGAACGGTGGTAGAGAAAAATGACTTAATGCCCAGCCACCGGTTGAACGTTGGATAAACACCTGTAACTATTTCTATATGTACCACGAAACATTACATACCAATTATTTGCGAATTTTAACTCAGGAGTTCAGGTAGAAGGGTTAATATTTGTTCAGGAACGCAGGGGTCAAAGGGTTAAAAGCGGCTTTCGGCGACTGAACCCTGTAGGTCTTAGGGAGGAGCATTCCTCTTTGAATTTCGTGGGCTAGCACAAGAACCTCAAGAAATGTAACGAATACCAGAAATCACATAACTTGTAAGTTTTCCCTAGCAACCACAACGAGAATGGATAAGACAATTAACTCAAAGAAAAAAATAATGACACAATCAAGTTATTGATCTTCCACAATACTTCGAATAAAAAAAGCCTAGGAAGGAAACACCGATCAATACTGAAAAAAAAAACGATAACATGAACTTGAGT